CCCTCTACTTGCCCCATGAGGCCGAGTGTCCAGTGGCTTCAGACTCGTCTAAACTGTCTGCGCCCAGCCCCGTTCAGATAGTGGCCTGGGACCGAATTGCCATTGGCCAAACTTGATTCTCATTCTGCTCATGGTATGGAGTGCCACCACCACATACGCTCTACTCGCATTTCGGCTCACAGTTTGCGTATGTGTGCTACTCAAATGTGTAGCATGCGCTGACAACACGAGTGAAAAGGTAACGGACTAAGCACATTTTGCATAAGGCTATGAATGATGAGGTAGCGAGGGCTCAAGTGTAACACTTGCGGTTAGTGGCCCCTAAAATATTATGTGATGACTCTACTTAAGCTTACCATGAACTCGAAGGTCGAGTAAATTTTACTAAAGAATTGTATTTTTTCCTTGTTGAAGAATTTTCAAGATTTGGTTAGGCATGCCGAACCATCCAGGCACAAACGTGCGGTGTTCCCTGTTTGCTGTCAGGGCCTAGAAGGCTCTCAAATATTTCAGATTGTCATGAGCAAAGCGGATGTAACCAACTGGCGTGTGGCAACTGTCTGGCGCCCAACAGGATATGCAAAAATTGACGAATTCGGGGCTCATTGAGATTCGGGGGCCCGCCTTCACTTAGGGCGGGCACACACCCGCTGTTAGGCCTTACACAAGTGTGCCGAGGGGTAAAATCCTCGCATTATTACCTATTTCATGGTTCCTTGTTGCCATAATCCAATGAAAGCACGTGTGCACAACTTATCTAAATGCATCTGATGCATATATCATAGTGCAAGCATGTGATGGAAGGACTTTCCTATTAACCAGCTCACTACCAGCAGGAAGATAGAACGGAATAACATGACCTCTCCACCTAGCTTGTCTTCTCTCACTGGTCGCGTTTCAGGCTGTTCCTAGTAACGATTGGCTCAGCCACATATGCAGGAAGGGTCCGAGTTCTGCATAGAATACCGACTGCAGAATGTGTGATTAACAAGTCAAAGAGAGAGAATCTCCTGTGCTGCTTTATTGCCTGGCAAAAAGGGACCAAAAAAGAACGAATAAAATATATGCAAGGAAGCACAGCTGACATGTTGCTGAATGGTATACAGTCCTATACACATGTCACTGATGATAAACACATCATGAGTTTGAAACCTGTTGGGATCTTGGGATATATGACATTACGGCCTACTCCTCTGAAACAAACAAACAAACAAAAAAAAAAAAAAAAAAAAAAAAAAACCTTCGAAAAAGTAGCCGCAATCCTCATGTCTAACATGATGCTCCCAATTGCTCATTGAGAAATGATTCATAAGATTCATAAATGAATCAATATTCATCCAGTTCACACATGTGCACGACGTGGGCGCACAGCTTTAGAGCCAATGACGGCAGTTGTGAAATCAATTGAATGCCCAACGTCACCATAAATTCTAATGTGGAATAGATCAAAGTTCATCAAACAAAACAATGATCCGCAGTAGTGCACTTAGCACCACACTTCTCGGCAATGCCCTGATGCGTTTTGGAACATAGCTATCCCCAGGGGTCCTTCTCTTCTTCCACCCTATACTTGATCGTTGTACCACCTTTCCTCAAGATGGCTTGTTGGGTGACTCATCGTCCCCAGTTAACGCAGTTGGACAAGGAGACCTACTACTATTGATGATACCGACTATATACTGCCTATCCAATCCGCAATAGCTCCGAGGACAATTTACAAATGCACCCTCCGAGCCTCCGAGGTCAATTTACAAATGCACCCTCGCTTTCTTGGTCCTGCTGAAAGAGCTTGTCAGGAAACGCTTTCGCCCGGTACTCTTTCTGCAGTGTGTAAAAAGTTGAACTCCAATCAAAGTGGTGTAACCAGCCCAAGATGCCCGCAACCTTCTGTTGCCAACTGGTCCAGGATCCGAAATTTTGACGGGTCCAAAGCAAGACTTGTCCCCCGTTCCACAAGGTTTTTTTAACTTTTTTCATTTCCAATCCGCCCCAGGGATCTCACAAACGGGAAGGCCTCACGAAACTCCACCAAACACTCCAGCAAATCCCGGGCACTCTTTTCGTCATGTGTTTGATGAGTAGCACTTTTGTAACCACGGCCGAATTCGGTTTACCTTAGCCAAAACTCAAAGATGAGACAATGATGCCATTGCAACTCAAACAGAAGAAGAATGAGACTTGGGAAGAAGAAGAATGGCTTCTTTTAGCAGCTACCAAAACCTCCTACTCCTACCAGATTTCACATGGACCTGCCCAAGTTGCTGGGAAATCCCTACCAGGTACTAGCCAAGTTCTACTTCTGCCCCTGTTCATCCCGGCCTTCCACAAGTCCATCCGGCACCAAATTCAGTCCAGTCCCTCTCATTCTACCCACTGGCTACTTTGTCCCTGTCCGATGCGCAGCCACACATCACTGCCAATAGAATTAGCACATAGACCCCAGACTCGCTCAGGAACGCACATATCACACATACGTTAGTGATATGTACACACAGCACACACACATGCTTAGAAAACACGGCAAAACAGACTCAAAATCTGACTTTGCAGAAATCAGATCAAGAGGCATCTTCTCAGAAAAGTGCTAAAATCTCAGACCATCATTTGTGCGGGTCATTGCAGACCCAATATCACCATGCTTGTACCCCAAAAACAAAGACACATCATCAACAAGCCTAAATCCCCCGACCAATTTCTTAACGGACCCTAACAAGCTCAGCAAACGCCACCCTACAAATGCACACATGATGCATGCGAGTGGCGGACTCTTACCTTTCCCCATGGGGATGCCCACTTTCTGGTTCATCAGCAAATCAGCAAGATGTACCACAGTGTTTTCCACTCCGAACTCCACAAACATCCTGATTTCCAGAAATGAGACAGGCCACCACCCAGCTGCCCATATCTAACTGGGGCTAGTCAACCAACGTCTCCCCCTCAAGGGCATCAACCAAATTTCTCCCCCGCCTCCCCCCCTACCCCACCCCTTTGAGCTACACATCTCAATTACTCAGAAAAACAATTGTATGTAACACTTCAAGCATAATGGAAAGCCCAATGTGTGAGGCTTTACTCTCGTGGAGGACACAATGTGCCAAAACATAACTGCGCGCATCCAATGTGTGAGGCCTTACTCTCATGGAGTACAATGGTGGAAACGGAGTTGTGCCCTTCCTTCCCCCAAATAGGATCATTCCTCAACTCAGTAACCCTCCCACCTGCCCACCATGTTTTGATGAACTGTCTCTAGCCTTCTTCCGATTCTCTTCGTCGTCTGTCCCTGTACTCTTGATCTTTTGCCAGCTGCATAGAAAATCTGCCTGTAGCAGAACCTTAGTCTCCCCCCAGACTCCCTCCCGTGCGCCTGCAGCCTCCTCAAACTTCTGCTGCCTCCTTCCTACCATTTGACCCGAGGGGAAGTCTTACTGGTGAACTCAAACAGGATCCTTTCTGTTTACCGTGGCCACTGAGGGAAGCCAGACAAAACGAGGAGGATAATTTTCCTCTCTTTCTTTTAGCCCTACCCCATTTCTGATCCCTAATATCCTCATCCCTCCTCTCTCCATTTGAAGCGAAGCTGTGCGCCTCTTGGCTCTGCTACTTTCCCCAGCCCCAAAGTATTCTGTTTAAATTTTTTGATTATTTCATCCTCTTGACCAGGTTGTTGTCTTGCTTGCTGTCTCACCTTTTTCCACTGCGCGTAGAGATGTGTTTCCACTGCATTGAGGAGCAGCTCCCTAGCTTCCTCCCTATGAATTAGYGTTCCTTCCAAAGTGGCCTGRCATCTCCTCTTCCAAATGGTCCACAGTCCATATTGTCTCAGCAGTTGAAAGATGTGTCGCTGGTAGGGCTGCCATACTTTGGGAACCCCATCCCCCAAAAGCATGGTAATCTTTRAGTCTGGGAATGCTATCGTCACTACCTGTTTCCAAATCCCMCTAACTTGTTSCCACATTTCTACTGCCTCCTTACATTCAAGCAGGCAATGYACCAGTGTTTCCGGMAGCCCTTCTTGGCACACTCTGCAAAGCTCCGCTTCCTCGTTTCTCTGGTTATGACTTCTTCTTTCGTTGAGCCACACATTCACCGGTAGTGCCACATGTGCTATTAGCCATTGCATACTCCTAACCTGACCCAGTCYAATAGATAGGATGCTAGACCAAGGTATA